TAATTGGAAAAATTGCATACTCAAATGCACAGGGAGAGAAATACAGAGAGAGAGAAACTGGGTATACATGTGCCTGACTGGCGCACTCTGGGTCAGCTAACAGCGCGTAGAGAGGAAAATGTTTAATTAAAAACACAAAATGAAATTCTACGACGGGGAAACTTTTCGAAATTTCAAGTCGCTCTGGCAGTAAAGTTAAATATGACGAGCGAGACTCAAAAGTATGCTCTGTGTTATGTATACGCGCGCGTGTGTGTGCGCGCGCGCAAGCGATGAGCGATAGGGCACAGCAGCAGCAGCAGAGACTAGACTTTACGGAGTAATTTTTTCATTACGGTTGCTAAGAGGAGGCCAGGTATCATGATACGCACAATGGGCTACATAATATTTTCGCTCGCGAGCGCGCGATTCTTCATGCTTTCCGACTGCTTTAATAATACAGCCGAAAGTTACGTCGGTTTAGAGGCCACTTCTCTTCTCTACTCCTCTCGTCTATAGCTTATCTCTTTATATCTATATTTCTCCGGTCGCAAATTTCCAACCGGAGAATTTAAAATATACATGCGCGCACTCAAAAGCATTTTGAGCGGCGCTGCGAATATTTCTTTTCATTGTAAGCGCAGCAGCAGTGGCGGCATCGTTCATGTACAGGGTGAGGAATAAAAAAAAAAGTGGAGAAAAAAGATTTTTCTTTCTCTGGTATCATGTGACTCGAAATATCTCGCGCGCATTTTGATGCATTTCAATAACGAAATGTCACTTGAGAGTCGGCAACGAGAGAAAAACGTCAATCCTCCTACTGTCAAAGCAATCAAGCCTCGGCTGCTGCTGTTGCAGCTCAGCTCGTACCTGCGCGCAAATCGATGCAATTCAATCCAACGCTAGACAATTTATGCTACTAGCTTCGGCGTTGCTTTTCTTTTTTGCTGCGTCGTGTTGCGGCGTAGGTATAAGGTGGGTAGGTAGTAGTTGTAGTAGTAGTAGAATGAAAAAGAAGTAAAAAAATAAGAAATTCGCAGCGAGGAAAATCGCGCGCATTATTGTCTGTAACTAACGACGGCGACGACGACGCCGCCAAGGCTGCGCGCACTCGGAGGAAGAAGAATATTATTTATGCGGCGTGTATAATGCCGGCCTCGATATACTACATAGGCAAGAGGGAGAGAAAGACAGAGAGAAAAAGCATCAGTAAGTGAAGAAAATACAGCGCGGCAGTGGTAGTCGGTACCGGGGAGAGAAAATGTACGTATACACTTGCTCTGTACGATTTGGCACAGACTTTTGCCTCTCTCTCTCTCTTGCCTTATACATGCCGGGAGAAAGGGTAAAAAGCACTTTCCGCGATAACGACAATGTTGCTGCTGCTGCTGCTTTCTCCTTTCTGCGGTGTCCTCTTATTATTCCTCTTCCTTCTGCCGTTGCGTACCAGCGCAACCACCCTATGCGCGCAGCGTGTACCACATAGATGTATAAGTGCTCGGGAAAACGAGATGCAATGTATTATGCGTACACGTAGCTAAGAGAGAGAGCAAGAGAAAAGCCTCGGCGAGAGGGAGACAGACGGCTTAATTTGTTCGAGAGAGAAAGGCGCGCGAGCGAGCGATAAAGGAGTTTATGCTTATACGCACGGTGTGCTGCAAGCTTGTCTCTCTCTCGAGCTATACATATACGTAGCGCGCGTTGACGCGTGCGTGCAGGCTGCACTTGTGAATTTCGTCAGATATGCGCCAACACGTATACGGATCATCGCGACGACGGAAAAGGGTATATTATATGCTACGTGTGTACGCGCGGGCAAAAGATGAGCCGCTGATTTTTATGTACCGTAAGCGAGCGCAATATTCTCGTGCGCAGTAGAGGGCTTGGCAAAAGAGAGGAGGCCAGCTCGAGCGCAGAGAGGCCAGAGAGCGATGAAAATTAAAGTCGAAAATACGAGCGCCAGGGCGAAATTCACTTGATGTACTCATTGTTTAACTATCCGACTTTATATACGTGTATGTAGCAGCAGCAGCTTCGCGTCGAGTCGAGAATGCGAGTCGCGAAATTACTGCGGCGCATGCAGCGCAGCGGCAGCTTCCTTCAAAACTAGTTGCGAGCTCTGCGGTACTGGGGGAATTTTCGGCGCCGGGATTGTTATTAATCATATGGCGAATGAGCCTAAAAATACACACTTGCACTTGTATATAGACATAGACACGTACACACACGCGCACACGACATTAACTCTCCACGTGTATGTGCATTTAGTCGAAATTAAAGAAAATTCATTACAATATACACCGTATACGCCGCCAGCGTGTGGATATTTTGTCGGAACGTGTTCCAGAATTCATATCTGTATAAATGCGCGCGCATTTCTCGTCGACACTATCTGGGCTTGGCTGTGTCGCGCGAGTATTACTCGTGTGTGATGATGAATACGTAGGAATTTGACGCTGCGAGGGAGAGATAGAGACAGAGAGAAAGAGAGAGAGATGATAATCAAATAGTCAACGACGGCTACATAATAATTTTATCCTGGCGTAAAATTATCCATCAAAATGGAAATTCGCATTGAGTGAGTGAGAGAGAGAGAGAGAGAGAGCAGAGCGGCAAAAGGAGTCCGTTGCAGATTACAAAATTTAATACCCCGTGTGTGTTGGTTGGCATTCCTCGACGTATTATACGCGCGCGCGCGCGTGTGTGTGAAAATATAATCTTCGAGCACGCCCAAAAAATAAATAAGAAGTAATATACGGTCATAGTTTTAGGGATAAACAGGTAAAACAGTGCGGGAAAGCGAAGGTGGAAGGTTGGATGCTCTAATAGCAATCTCGGGTCGGCGCTAGCTGAAAGTGACCGAGAGTGCACTACCGGCGAGGCTGGCCGAGAGAGCAGGACGCAGAGATAGAAAGAGGAAGCGAGAGTGAGTGAGAGAGAGAGAGAGGCGAACTAATTAAGCTGAACGTCAACAGGATACAAACAGCAACGCGGACAGAAACAATACGAACTTTGCCAGAAGCCAGTGGTAAAAAACAACGCTCAGAGTGAGAGAGAGAGAGCGAGAGCGAGTTCTGCTCGGCCAGTGTGTGGAACGAAGTAAGTAAATTTCAATTAATGTCCTGAGGCAGCTACTTTGGTGGCTACGCCAAAGTCCTCCTCTGTGTGTGTTAGTGTATAAGCCTGTATGTGTGCAACTATATATACATTACCGGGGCAAGAGCTCGGATAGGATGAACAGATGCGGAGGCTGCAGCAGCAGCACCAACGCCAGGCAGTAGATAAGATCGTTGATCCGTGTAAACGAAGATCCTCGAAATGCCTCGCAGCTTGTTGCGTAATATACGCGCCGCAGAAACGGAAACGCGTATAAGCAAGGATTAGGTTGACTTTCTCGCGATTTACTCGCTCGCAGAGTAGCGTACACCTATATATAATATCTACAAACAAGTGTTGCTCCGTACGTGTGCAATATGTGTGCGTGTGTATTTGTGTGTGATACGATGCGCGAGATGATTCAGCTATTAACGTCGTTACATTCGAGCAAAGAATCGCGCGAGTCGTAAAACGATGGCTCTTTTAATCTGGCGAATGATTTTAATTTACCAATTTTCGGATTATAATCGCTCTCGTTGCGTACAAAGGGATTTCTCGGAAATACTCGGCGCGCGCGACAATTACATGTATAATTTTGACAGGCATCGAGCCGTGTAATACAGAGTAGTATTTTAATGGATGATAATCATCCGAGTACGATAATACACACTTAACGCGCTTTAATTCTTACGAATAATCCTCTCGCTACAACTGCTTCTTTCGCTCTTCCTCTTTGCTCTTTCTCTCTTCTCGTTCTGCTTTGGCTTATCCCCGCGATCGTGCGGATCCGAAAGCCAGAGAGAGAGAGAGAGAGAGAGAGAGAGAGAGAGAGAGAGAGAGAGAGAGAGAGAGAACGCAATCGTAACTCCGGCCAAGGCAATGCGATATCTACTACAATAGTTGGCATTCTGCAATCCTATGGATATCTTAATTAATCCGTCTTTTCCGAATGCTTGACTCTATATGTATTCTCTGCTGCATTTACATTGCGCTACGCGCCCTGTCGCTGCTGCTGTTTCTGTTGCAGACGCCATTAAACAGTGGCAGTAGATAGCGCGCGACGACGATATTGTAACAGGTTTGTTGTTTAACGCGCGCGCGCCAGGACGGAAGAAAAGAAAAACAAAAGAGCCGCAGAGTCCGATGTTACTCGAGTGAAAAGGGAGTGAAAAGAAAAAGAAGCAGCAGCCAAGTAAATCGGAAGAAGGGATAGTAGTACAAGCGCATAAACGACTCGGCGCGTATGAAGCAATAAAACAGAAGTCGTAAAATGAAACGACGCTTCTGGCTCTGCATGCTTAGAATCAACTCTCGCTGCTGCTGCTGCTGCTACTTCTCGCCGCTGCATCTCCCGCTTCGCGTCGTATACGTACTCTTGCACCGGAGCTTTTCTTTCTTTCTCTCTTTCTCGCCGGCTCTCTCTCTCTCTCGCACTCGGAGGTCCGAAAATCCACGAATCCAATTTGATTCTACGAAATTAACGCGCCAGTGAACCTAAGATAAAAGCATCCACCTTCTCTGTCCGAGTAGGAGAGGCGAGATCTAGCACGCGTTCCTTGGCTCTTTGGGCTCTAATACACATTATATATATATATATACGCAGCGCGCTCACCGTGTGCAGTAGCAGTGGCAGCAAGTAACTCTCAGGAGTGAGTTATCCCTCCAGAGGCCACCAACGATATTAGGGTGAATTTACTTTCTAAGCACTCGGGCATTAGATCTCGCCCATTCAACGGTGGCTACCTTCTCGGGGGGTGGCTATATCTACCTTTATACGGCTCAGACGTAAGAAAAGGCTACGTATATACAAAGTCAGTCAGTATGTGAGGATATGTACATAGCACATGTAGATATATGTATATATGCGCACACTTGTGCGATGCACGCGCGCAAGAGAGAAAGAGAGAATTTATAGCAGCACTTACCTATCTCCTCATTGGTAATCTTGGCCCGGACGAGCGTGCTCGAGGCTACGGTCAGGAGAATCAGCGCGAGTAGCCACCGACGCGCTTGAAAAACTGCCGCCGCTCCCGCTCGCTTATCCATGATTTTTGCACCCGGCATCCTCCCGCAAGTTTGCGCACTCGCGTGCATTAGCTATATCACTGTATGTATTTATTCTCGCGAGCACTACGCGATTTCGATGTGTCTGTAGGTGTAGGTGTACCTACAAGTGTGTTGTATATATGCGCGCGACGAGAGAAGAAAATATGTCTCGCCGTTGTTGTCGCTCGCTAGCGCGGCAGGGGGGTGCAGTAGCGACGTCGAGGCGTCGCAGCAGCCCCGTCGCCTCGACGACGCGTCACTTCACGTCACACACGCGTCAGTGTCTCTCTCCGCTCTTCTTTTCCTCCCACCACTTCTGATGTGCCGTTGCGTCTGCAGTTTGTTGTTGTTGTTGTTTTTGTTGCTTTTTATTCCTCTCTCGCTCGCTCGAGCTCCTTTTGTCTACGTACGTCGTTGCTTTTTTTCTCTCGCGCTCCTTACACAGAGCCCTTACGCAGCATTCGGCACTCGAGATAGAGAGTCGGGCGAGCGCGATTTAAGCGCGCGTTCACCTTCTTCGCCGGCAAAAGCGCGGGGGGTGGTGGTGGTAGAGGGCGAGAGAAGGAGGAGGATAAAAGTACACTCAGTGTCTAGCTAGAGCTTGCAACTTGACGTGTAGTGTGTACTGCTTGCTGCATACGTGTGTGTGTACGTGTATGTCCTCGGCAAGTGACAGTCGCTCCTCTCTCTCTACCCTCTCTCCTCTCCGTTCGCTGCACGGTCGTCGTCGTCACCGTAGCCGTCGTGTGCGTTGATGTGAATAGTCCTTCTTCCTGCGACTACTTTGCTCTTTGGGTCTTCACCCTATCACTCGACGACGCTGCAGGCGAGCGGGCGGGCATGCTGTATACGCTATCAGACGCATAAATGTGATTGCCACTGCTGTCGCGCTAAAGTAACGGAGTAGTCAGACAGAAATGTATTTATTTTCTTCCTTTCATCTTCTTCGCGTGGAGCCTCGGCGCCGACACGCGCTCGACTGTTGTTGCGCGCTTCCTTTTCTGCCTTCTTCTTGTTGTTGATTTGCGAGCGAGCTCTGTGTGCACGAGTTGTTCTACTATTACTGCTGCTACTGCTGGAGAGATGCGTAGAAGGAAAAAATAGGAAGCCGCTTAAACGAACGGCGATAAATCACAAATCTCTTTCTCTTCGAGGATTCTATAACGCCACTTTCCTTCAGAGCGAAAATGTACACCTCCTCTTTGTGCGTGAGCCCGAGAAAGGGAGAGAGAGATATTCCTCCTTTTTCTCACTTTAAAGTGTTCACAATAATTCTCTCTGTGTTGCTGCCTGCGTTGCCGGGCTCTCTTCAGCAAGAACGACGACGGCGAATATCATCGATGCTGCTACTGCTGCCGCGAGAGTCACGCCTTTTTTCTTTCAACATCAAAGTCTGGCGCGTTTACGTAAAGCTTTGGGGATGCTCACGAGCGCGAACTGTGCGATGCTTAATAGTCACTTTTGCTGTTCTGCCGTGATGCCTCGGTAAACCTGTAACAGAAAATGAAAAGAACAACTTTAATTACGCACGAATTCGCATGTGAAAGGATGAAAATTATTCAAAGGTATAGTTATAGGCTTATAAATATTCGCTGCGATTCTCGCACACACAAAATATACGCATGCATACAATTACAACTTGTTTTTTTTTTTTTTTTTTCGTCAAGCCATTTCTCAGATACGTGTATAAACACAGCGCGCGTATAAGAGCGCGACGAACGATCAAGGTTTTAACTGATAATCTGTATTTTTTCGCTACCTGTTCCCTCTTTCTCACTCTCTTCTCGCAGGCTACCAGAAAATGCACGCACGGATCGCTCGGATTTATTGCTTTCTTTACCTCCGACACGTTTGATGCTCTTCGAACATGTATTTTTTATCTCTTTTCTCACGTATGTATTGCCTCGCTCCTTCTCTCGATTCTCTCCATATACGCTCTATATATCCTATATCCTAGATACACACAAACACGGGCGAGGAAGAAAGAAAACCCGCACACGCAATAGATATCGTTTAGAAGCTCCTGCGTGTAGAGATCTGTGTATATGTGCGTATAGAGCATAGTAAATCTCTCCCGTGGCTACTTACTTCTCTCCTTTCCATTCCCCCTTCTGCGGGTTTGTTTTTTTCATTTCACTTCGCGGTTTGGCTCGTTCTTTTTTTTTTACTTTTCCTCAGTGCTGCATTGCGCGCGAGAACATGCACACGCGCACACACATATTTTCTCGTATCGGTGCGCAGAGCTCCCCGATTGCGGCCAATATTCCAATAGGGATGCGAGGTAAACTTTTTTCTCTCTCTCTCTCTTTCTTTTTTTCCTGCTCGGTACGTTGCCTAGCTTTTCCAATTCTCCTTCCTTCTTTTTCTCTCTTTCTACACTTTTTCTCTATTCAAGCGTCGGCTGAAGTGCGCCTAGGATACTCGCTGGAATCGCGTTTTCTTTTAGCCTTCTTCTATACACACACATATACACGTAGGACGATCCTCGTGCAATCCAGTGCATTGCTGGATAACGCAGTAAAAGTACCAGAAGCAGCAGGAAGAAAAGGAGGAGGAGTTGCAAGGATGGTTAAAGAAAGCGAAAAAATATATATTCCGGCCGGCCGGCTACTAATCAATAGCGATTGCTTTTACTCGGCTAACCTGAAGAAGTAAGTGAGTGCACATCCAGCCGCAAAGAGAGATAGAGAGAGAGAGAGAGAGAGACCGAAAGAGAGGGAGAATGCATCAATGTATGCGTGTCTAAGAGTATAAAAAGCCGTAGCACGAGGTGCTTCTCCGGCACTGACTATATATACGTCTTGTACATAGACACACGTTATATACGTATATAAGGCATACACATGCCACAATATATAGATACGCGGCCACATATACGTATGTATGGGCTCTGGATGGCAGGAAATTGCACTTTTCTTTTCTTGCCGACTCCCTCCTCGTTTTTTTGCTTTACTGTTGCTGTTCTTTTTTTACTCTTGGGCTGTATGCGCACTGTGCTCTGCTCGTGCTTTTTTGCTTTATTCTTCTCTGAGAGGCTGCTGCGCGCGAGGAAGCAGAGCTCGATTTATCCATATATACGCCGATGCAGCTCTATACTACTATTACTACTACTACTACTCTCTTTCGCGATGATAGTGGACGTTTCGAGATCCATTAAAGCTCGTCTTTACGCTTTTGTGTTGTATTCCAGATAGAAAATCTATCGCATATATATATATATATACCCCGCGAGAGTAGTAAGAAAAGCTGCTGGAAAAGAGAGAGAGAGGGAAACGATAAAATTAATAGCACGTTCGACGTTAATTCAGAGATACAAAGCGAGGGAGACACGAGGCAAAAATACGACGACGCGAAACGATACGCGAACGCGATCGCAGGTTTCGCTTTATATGAAATTATGGTGGCGCTTAATTTCATCATCTATCGAGAGGGCCGTATATGTTGCTTCGGCTGCTGGGGTTTTAAAGCTCGTAAATTGATCGGTCCGCCGGTATGCGCGTATTAAGAATCACTTAGATCCCAGCGTTAATAATGCCTAATTATTGCTGCTGCTGTTGTTGTGTACGCGTGTGTTTGTTTTATGAATTACTGCCTTAAGCTCTATAATACATATAATATGATATTGGGCGGAAAAATATACGAGTGTACACGATATTTATCAGGAGTGCGGGTGATGGTGGGTGTACTGCGGAGGCGAGCATACGCATGAGGGATAAGGAGGAGGAGGGAGAGAGGGGGGGGGGGAGTGAGTGGATGAGATAATGCTCATAATAATATAATAAAATTTTATGTTTACAACGAGCTGAAGAACAGTTTTAACGAGGCGGAACCGCGTTATCTCCTCGTCGTACCTATTTTGCCCTCTCTTTTCTCTTTCTGCCGGTGAACAACGTGAATAATTCTACGATGCGGCTAAGTAGGAAAAGTAAAGCAATCCTCTTAAAAAGATGGTAAATGGGTATATGCTGCTGCCTGCGAGAGTTGCAAGCTACACTAGGTAACGCGCTCTCGCTCAGAGCTGAACGCTAAAAGCCTGCGGCTACACCACCGACACCACTGCTATAGTTGCTACTACTGCTCCCTCAGTGCAAGCTACTGCTGCTACATACTGTAAATGTGTATGTGCTTAGCTACTGCTGCCAGGAGCGTCTATAATATCCAACAATTAGAAAGTTCGTTTTCGTTCGCTACTACTGCCTCCGCTGCTACTGCTGCTGCTGCTGCTGCTGCTCCTGCTAATGGAGCTTCAAATCTCGGGGTGAAAAGAGAAAAAGAAAGAGATGAGCGAAGAACGAGCAGAATGCAGCAGTATCTGTACAACTTAACGGCGTGTCACTTGCTGTGCGTTCGATCGTATTAATAGCGCGCGTATACAAGCGCACCCACGTGTTTTACAGATTTGGGCGGTCGTTGTTTTTTTTCCTATCTCTCTTTTTTTCCCGTCGTTTAGCAGCTCTTACGTGCGTTCGACCCTCTATCTCTGCGTTGCGTGTTTACACGCACACTACGTTTTTTGCGCCATTCGTCGTGGTCGTCTCTCGTGCAGCGTGCGAAATCGCGTTTGTGCAGAGTGGCACCGAGCCGAGAACTATTCGGACTGGCGCACGCTTGTAGCCCCGACCGTACGTAACGAAATGCCACACTGCGCCAGTAGAGAAGCGAAGAGAGAAAGAGAGAAGGACGTTAGGTGTGCGAGTGTGTATGTTACAGCCCGGCCCCCTGGCTATGCATATATAAGCGCTGAAAATTACAGACAGTAATGAATAGCGCATCGCTACCACTGCGTTATTGGACGCTTCCGGTAGTAGTTATGGGTGTTTTTTCGTAGTTACAGTGGATTTTTCCTTTTTTCTCCCTCTCTCTCTTTTACTCTTGCTTCTTCTATCTCTCTCTCCTGCGCTCTTTCACTCCTCCTCCTGCTGCTGCTCTCTCCACACGTGCATGTATATGTATGTACAAGCGCTTAATTTGTTCAAACGACGCACACACGTACACGGACAGGCAGAGGCGGGCGCGGAAGAGTGCACGCACGCACCCCGTATTCTGTTTGAGCCAAAAGAAAAATGGAGCAGCTTAACAGTCGTGTATAAATTTAAGCGGCTACACACAAGTATAACACACACACATATACACACGAGAGAGAGAGAGAGAGAGAGAATACACTGGGCCAAGCATTTTTTTATAATGCGAGTACCAGAATTTACATATTACACGCGGAATTTTTGCGCGTTATGTGCTCACGTGGAGAGTAGTGGCGTATATTACGCACACACGGACACACACGGAGAGAGAGAGAGAGTATAAACATATATAAGATATAAATTCGACCGATATGAATATCGCAGCTCTCGTTGAAAGGCCGTTGTTACGCCAGTTTGTTTTACTCACACAAATAATAATCCAATTTTATATCATTAGTTTTCGCGCATTTTTTCTTCTTCTCTGCGCACAGCGACATTTGATTGCGTAAATATTTGCACATGCATTCAATATAATATACGATGCAGACACTCGCAGCACCACACGCAGACCAAAGTCTAGGCGTGCAATAAGTACAGCTCGATATTAAGTCGAATACCAGTCGTATATATAATATTTCGCATTCGCAAATGAACAAGAGTAACGCAGCCTGCGGTCGTAATGCATTATACACACACTGTGCAGTGTGTATGTACACATACCGGCCACCAGCACTGCTGCTGCCGCTGCTTACTGCCGCTGCAGTTTATTTATTTTTATGAAATCGAGTATATACCAAGTGTGTAAAACATAATAAATGGCCATGGGGATCCGCGTGTTTTTTTTTTTGCGGTGCCCGACATGTTTTTTCTTCCTCGTCGACGCTTCGAGCTCCTCTTTCGATATGCGTGCAGCGGAGCTTGGCATATATGCAACAAGGGCGGCAGAAGAGGCCTCGTCGGTTCGACTAATCGAATGTCTGCAGTGACGCAGCAACTTTCGTGTGTGAAATTAGCCCAGGCAGAATGAACTGTTAGGCGCTGCACCGACGAGAGAGAGAGAGAGAGAGAGAGAGAAAGCAGTAGCACTGCAGTATGTATGCATAACAGTTTCGGGGGGAGTTATAACACACACACGGGGTCTTTTGTGCGCGCGTAAGACGAAAACTGCACGGGCGACTTCCTTAGGGCTATACAGTCGACCGTCGTCGTCGTCGTCGCCACAGCGCTGAAAGCAACTTAAATTACGTCTCAGCAATCCTGGGCACTTAGCGCGAGGGCTGGGCTTTTCTTGCCGCAGTATATATTGCATGTAGATGGATGGGGGACCGGGGTTGCGCTTATTCAGAGAGCGATAGAGAAGGTAACGAGACCGAGTCTAAATCGCTGCACGAGAAAAGGGAAAGCAAACTTCTTACACCTTATATATTTTAAAAAAAGAGCAGCGGTAACAGCTTGGCCATTTATATACTGCTAATTTTCACTCGCTCTCTAGCGAGCAACACGACTTCAAAATCAATCCGCCTTTATCGA